GCAAATCATTAGCTTCTGGCCTCCCCATTTCATATGTTTCCATTCAGATTTTTATCAGGTTTTCTCCAGGATCCTGGAAGCCTGGAGGCCTAGCTCTCATCTTCTTGCCAACACTATTACAGATAAAGAAACTCTGGCCGATGTGCCCAGACCAAGAACACAATTATTGATCATACATCTCTCAGTGAATTCTTACCCAGAGCCATCCAGTTTATGCTTCCTAAAATGCGATAGGAAGGACAAACAGTGGATTTTTGCAAAATATTAAGATGACATTGCACGTTTTGCCCTTAAATATTTGCCTTGTGTGCAGGCTTTCTGCTAGGTATTGTGCTCTCTTTGACTGACTTCCCCAGCCCAGGGAGCTATTTATTATCTAGATGTATAAATAAAATAGAAGGATTTAAATTTCTATTAGCTCAGCCATTTAGCTAATAACTCAGGCCAGACACAGATTAAGGCCTTCTGGGGCCTCTGGTTAACAAGAGGCCTTTTTTCAGCGTTAGCAATATTTTTCAAAATACTGAATTTTTTTTAAAATAAGCATTTAAAAAATGGAAAACAGGTATGTTATTCTCCTTGTAAATATTTAATGTTCTTCTATTCATATTAATTTTATAGAATATCAGATATGGAAAAGATTTTAGAGGCTACCTACTCCAAAATGTAACCAAACAAGAATTACCCCACGATTGATCTGTCATTGGGACATGGAGGTAACCCTCTGGGAGTAAGAGCCAGCATTTATGCAGCATTTGAAGGTTTGCAAAACACTCTGCAGATATTATCTCATTTGATTTTCACAACCATCCCAGGAGGAAACAGGCATTTTTGTTATCTCATTGTACAGAGGAGGAAACTGAGGTTGAAAGAGGTGACTTGTCCAGGGTCTCATAGCTAGTAAGTGGCCAAGGCTAGATTTGAACTCAGTGCATGGAGTGCTGACTCTGGAGTCAGGAAAACCTGAGTTCAAATCTGGCCTCAGACACATACTAGCTGTGAGACCTTGGGCAAGTCACTTAATGCTGTTTGCCTCAGTTTCTTCATCTGTAAAATGAGGAGAAGGAAAGGAAATGACAAACCACTCCAGTCTCTTTTGCCAAGAGTCAGACACAACTGAAGACGATTCAACAACTTCCTGACTCCAAGTCCAGGGCTCTGTCCACCACACCAGCTCCTTAGCTCTGGCATTTTGTACAATACTGGAAAGCTCTGAGTATTGGCCACATTAAATCACTTGCATGGGTCTTGTCTGAAGACCAAATTAAGTTAGGAGAGACTCATTGCCAGGTTGGCCAAATGGGGCATTTTTTGGTCACCACAACCCCTAAGGATCGTCTTTTGAGTTACAGAGTAGGTGTGATCTACTCTGGCCAAAGGAGCACCCACATGGATGAGATTACAAAACCTTTATGTTTTGAAGTATTCAATTTGTATCTTAAGATTAAAATAAGCCATTAAATTACTCTATTGTATTTTAGACAATAACATTTGCAAAATTGTAAATGTTCTATATTTTAGAATATGTAAAATGGTATCAATTTTATTTTAAAATTTAAATTTCTAGTTAAAATCACAGAAAAGAAGGTAAAGGCTGATAAACACTAAGTGAAATATAAAAATCTTGACAAAATAATATACTTTTCCTCAAAATAATGCAAGAATAATGCTCTCGCATAGTAACAGTAACAAAACAGAGGACTAGAAAAATATACAGTATATAAGATTAGTTCATTAGGCTTAGTATTAGATCCAATTTGACCCAATTCATATGTCACAAATATATGATTGTTTTCATAGAAAATTCTATAAAACCATGATTTAAATGCATGCAAGTATTGCTGTAAATTTTGGAGAAAAACTTTTTAAATGCTTTTAAAAAACATCTTTTCCATAACTTTTGATTTCTCTAATCATCACCCCTGCTTTAAGCAATATAGTGAACTTTCTGTTCCTAGGCTCTTGGCTAAATTCATTCATGTGATTTTTTTTTTAATTTGATGAGGCTGAAGAGTGTATGTGTATGTGTATGTATGTGTATGTATGTGTGTCTGCATGTATGCAGCATGTATTTTTAAACATTCTGTCTAATGTCTCATCTAGGTAATATTCAGAGTTCTGGGCAGTTTGAACTTCCCTGGACTTTATTCATATTCTCTTATGCAGCCCTGGCCTGGGACACATGGGAATAACAGCTGATAAGTGTCCTACCCTGAGCAGTAGTTCCCAGGTAAATATCAAAGTCTACAAACCAGAATCCTGGTCAAAGGCATCCTAGTTATTCACCGAGATGAGCTAATGAGATAAACTAGGGTGTAAACAATCTCTCTAGGGAGATGGCCGAACAAATCCTATGTCAGTACAAGGGTCATTAACAAACATCCATGAAATTACTATGTTTATTCCAGACCAGTAAAAGTCTTCTGTGTCAAGCACACAAGGAAGAGACCATTTGAAACCTGTACCACTCCCCAGCAACTCCAATGGTAACCATTTTATCACCTTATAAAGCCATACTCATGCTCTTAACCTTGAGGGTCCCTAAAAGGGTGACCAATGTTGTCTATGAGTCATTTGTCTCTGGCTTAAAAAGTCCTTGCATTTGGGCTTCAAGTTGGGGTGCAAATGGCTGACACTTAAATGGGGTGGAGCACTGATCTACACAATAACCAGCTACAATTTCATAGGACTCCCAATGAAGCATTCTACCCCCCTTCTGGTGATGGCCTTGGGGTGCAGAATGAGATGTACTTTTGGACAGGGTCAATACAGGAATTTGTTTTGCTTGACAATTTGAATATCTGTTGCAACTATTTGGTTTTTGTTTTTCTTTTTTCCTCTAATGAGGTGGGAAAGAAGGGAGGAAGAGAAAATAAATTTCTCTTAATTGAAAAGAAATTTTTTAATAAAATGAATGGAGCAGTATTTGGTTTATAAGGCCAATTGAGAGGGAAAGAAAAATATATTCTTAGAGTTCTTGTTGCAGTAAACATATACATACATACACATATATATGTATATATATGCCTTGTACACAGTAGGTCCCTAATTAATGCTTAATAAAGCACTTAACTAAATCTCTTCTATGGGATCATCATCTAATAAAGGGAGAAAGGAACAAGTATTTATTAAGTGCCCACTAGGTGCCAGGCACTGCACCAGGTGCTTTACAAATATGATCTCATTTGATCCCTCTCTCTTCTGTTGCTGTTTTTCAGTCATTTCTGACTTTTCATGACTCCATTTGGGGTTTTCCTGGCAAAGGTACTAGAGTGGTTTGTCACTTCCTTGTCCATCTCATTTTACCAATGAAGAAACCGAGGCAAACAGGGTTAAGTGATTTGCCCAAGGTCACACAGCTACTAAGTGTCTGAAGCCAGATTTGAACTCATGTCTTCATGACTCTAGGCCTGGCACTCTATCCACTCCACCACCTACTTTCACCACCCTTCTTTCTCTTCTATCTCAAGGCTTCAGTAATCAAAGAGACAAAGAGGAGAGAGGGGAAAAAAGGATAAATAGGCTGAACTTCAGGGAATAGCCATTGATAGTTTGACACTCATCTGCTCTGGGTCACTTCACTCAAGATGGCACTCATCTCTGAAATCCCCATTTGTGGCCTAACAGTGGTTCCAGTCAGCTGGTCAAGAAGAATCTGACACTCCAGGACTGCTATTTCCCCTTGTTCAGGATCTGGCACATAAAACCTGGTTGAATTTCAAGAGCGTTCCAAGAGTCAAGGGCCTTGCGAGCTCACAGGGAGTAAGGACTTTCACTGGAAACAGAAAACACAAACCCTGACCTTCCTGTCTTTGGCCTATTTTAGACACACCCCCTCAATGCTTTAAGCAATATAGTGAACCTTCTGTTTCTAGGCTCTAGGTTAAATTCATTTATGTTTTTTTTTTAATTTGATGAGGCTGGAGTGTGTGTGTCTATTTGTGTGTGTGTGTGTGTGTGTGTGCATGTATGCAGCGTATATTTTTTAACATTCTGTCTAATGTCTCATCTAGGTAATATTCAAAGGGTTCTGGGCAGCTTGAACTTCCCTGGAATTTATTCATTTTCTCTTATGCAGCCCTGGCCTGGGACACATGGGAAGAACAGCTGATAAATATCCTACCCTGGGCTTTGAAATGGTATCTAGATTCCCCCCTTAGCTTCTTATAACCTTGAACCCAGAACTACTAAAGAAAATTACCCAGTCCTGTACTTCTAAAACAAGCCAAAGGGCAGCTGGTCAGTCATGGGAAATGAGTCAGGAGGAAAGATACTGTCCTCCATGCATTTGAGGCTGCTTACTCAAGGTTCCTAGGTCGGAAACACGGATTCCCCCAAATATGGGAGATACTCTCTCCTCACCCTGTTTTTAAATTTCAGCATCTCAGAGTTTGATCTAGCCCCTTCCACCTCTGAGCTATATGTCCCAGAAATACTTCACTTGCCAGAAATACTTGGAAGAAGGCCAGAGTTCAAATTCTGCCTCAGATACCAACTAGCTATGTGACCCTCTGTATCTCAGTTTCCTCACTTGTAAAATCAGAGGGGTTGGCCTTTAAGATTCCTTCCAACTCTAATTCTGTGATCCTATTATCTTTCCAATACCAGCCTGCCCAACCCCTGGCCTTCTTCGTGTGCCAGTTCTAGCTGGGCGGGTCTACAGTTCATGACAAATAGGGTGGTGGAACTACCTCCTTCCTTGGATACCTGAAACTCTGAATCGACTTTGGAGTGATCTATTCAGCAGCCCTGAGAGCCCACAATTCCCAGGCTCCTCCCAAGACCTTTGCATCCCTGGGGATGGGTGAAGGGAGAATGGTGGCTTCAGACTGGAGGGATTGGGGTGGGGAATGGAGAGATCTTGAGAAAATGTTCTTACTAGCTTCTTCCCCTCAGTCTTTGCTGGCCCATAATGGTTTTAGCTCTTTTCCTGGTTAATCATTTATGACAGTCTTCCTACTCCACTGCAAATCTTCCAGCAGTTAAAAAAAAATACTCACATCGTTCTTTTCTTCTCCTATAGGACTATGTAAAACACTCTCCAGCTTTGGTTCAGCTGCGTCTTCCCTGGTTACTCAGAATTACTGAGAGCTGCGCCTCTCAGGCAGAGACAGAGAACTTAATGTCACTGCCGTCCAGCCCATGTCTTAGGAAATTCCCACAATGCTCCTCAAAAACACCCTTTGTTGGATTCCTTTGGGGAGGATAGCCTCTGACGGACTGAAAGGAAACTCTGTACCAGAGAAAACTGGATCCTTAACTTGGGTCCAGGGCCAGAGCCTAGATTCCCTTTTCCTAAGAGGCGTGGTTGATTTTTCCTTAATATTATTGCAGAGCAGTCTCAAGGCGAGACCATCAGATGGTCCTGCCGCATTCCTTTCTTTGAAAATAAGCAACTTTCGGGAGTAATTGTGCCTAAGAGGACTGGGAAGAGCCATTTACATAAATGATGATGTCTTAGGTGTGTATAAATCATCCTGAATTTCTTGCATGTTAATTTCCAGGCAGAGTTCTTTTAACAGGGGGAAAAAAATGTTTCCAGTCACTCCGTCTGCTTCTCCCTTCCCCCCAATCCATCCACTTCCGTTACTCAAGACATGCTGAAAGGAACAGAATGTTCCTGGAGTTAAGGGGGCCTGCCAAATCCCTCCCATTTTCCAGGGAGCTTGTTTTCTTGTTTTTAAGCCGAGCTGTGTAAAAGCACAAGATACAACACCAGGGTTGTTTCTCCTCTACTCCCTCCAGTGACTCAGGGACGTGGCCTCCTTCCCTCCCTAAATTCATTACTGCAGTGCAGTATTCCTGACACATCTGCCAGAGGCGGCTTCTCAATGCCCCAACTGCACTGGGATCCAGGCCAGGAAGTAAGATGCCTGAATTTGCTGATGCGTGAAATTTCAGTAGAAACCTTCGGCACCCCTGTGGCCAAAAGACTTTCCTGTCCTTTTATTTCTTCTCTTCCTTTCCTCCTCTCCTTTCCTCCTTTTATATTCTCTCACTGAATCTGAGGGCCAGAAGAAAGACTTCAGTAGGTTTTTCTGTTCTTTTCCTCATGTTCTTGATCACAGACATACTTAAGCCATCCTGAAGAGAAAAGGATTTTTTGTTGTTGTTTGAAAAACCTCCAAAGGAGATTCCACAACATGCATGATTTAGTTCTAATATAACTTTAAAATGTAATGAGATAAGACTAGAGTATAGCTATACCCCACTTTGGAGACGGGTTCAGGTTAATAGGAACTTAATCCAATGAAAAATGACTAAGTTTGATTTAATTAAAGGAAGGTAGCTTGGTAGTGGATGGAGTACTGAATGCGGAGTGAGGAGATCTGTGTTCAGATCTCAACTGACATTCAGTAGACATGGATAATAAGAAAAAAATCACTGTAAAATGAAGATAACATACTTGCACTTAATACATTTCAATGTTGCTGTGGAGAAAGTCTCAGCTAATGTCCTGCCTTCTATAAAAAACCTTTTCTAATCCTCTTTAATCTTAGTGCCTTCCCTCTGAGATTATCCCAATTTATCCTATATATATCTTGTTTGTGCATAGCTGTTTGTATGTTAGACTGTGAGCTCCTTGAAAGCAGGGACTTTTTTTTCCTTTCCTTGTATCCTCAACACTTAAACACTGTGCCTGGTACATAGCAGTCATTTAATAAATGTGTTTTGACCTGACTTGGGTAACTTTGGTGTCCTACATGATACCAAAAACCCGGGTACATTTAGGTAGATTTCTCACCTCTCTGGTTCCCTGTCTTCAAACAGAAAACCTAGGAACTTCATTATGCGACATTATCCAGTATGTTGTCCACCTTGCAAGCACATAGTTCACAAAGCTCAATGGAAAAAAAGTTTATACATACAGGACAAAGGAAATAAATAGAGTTCATATTAGAGCTCATGGAAAATATCAACCCTAAGAAAACTTTAGAACTCAAAAGTTTATGGAAGTGATTGTTGAAAAATAAAAATAAATTAATAAAAAACCAGGGAAAAAAATAATAAATTGGAGTATTAAAAAAAAAGAAGATATCAACCCTACTCAAAGAGCAGCTCTTCCCCAGAGATCTGTATAGATTCATCCATTTATAGTCATGCAACATTAAGTGACACGCCAGCAGCCATTGCTTCTTAGGGCTCCTTAGCATATACTGTCTTCTGCAGTATCTGTAAGAAGTGATATTTCTAGCCCTTTCCCAGAAAACAGGCTCTGTATTATGGGCTAAGTGGGGGTACTTCAATTTCCTCATTATTGCAAGAAACACCAAGTCTTTTCTCCATGTTACAGCTCAAACGAAGCTTTAGACCAGAGTGTCTCCACTTTCAAGTATTCCCTTGAACTGCGGTTCCTACCAACTGCTGGTCTCATGTGAAATGTCACCTCAGAGTCAAGAACACCCTGCCCCTTTCATTTCTGAGCTGATCTCTAGAACTGATAATGAATTGGAACACGACATGCTGATTCCATAGCCTAATGTTCTTGTTTTACTTAGCATCAAGTGCTGTTTTTCCTATCTACATCAACACTTCCCCACAAAAGCTTGACAAAGCACCCTAATTTCTCTCCAATGATCACTCAAGTCATAAAAGTCCTTCCAGACCAACTATCGGAGTTATTCAAATCATATGGAGCTGCTTCCTGTGACATTTGGGGTAAAAATACAGGCAAGGAAAACCAAGTTCTCATATGTTACCTAGCACTGGAAAGAAAAATAGTCAGTACCCATTAGATTTATAAATCTTAAAGCATGATGTTAATGTGAGTTATTGTGATGAGAAATGTGGTGATGATGAGAACACCCTAGGAAGAATAGACATTCTTAGAACAAGAACAAAAAATGAGGGGCTTGAATTAGAATTTAGGGGTTCTTAATTTTTTTTATGTCATGGTACCCTTCAGCAGTCTGATAAAGTCTATAAACTCCTCAGAATCATGTTTTTAAATGCATAAAATAAATTTTATGGTTTACAAAGGAAACTAGTTATATTGAAATGAAGATGTAATGTTTTTTCCCATATAAGTTTATGGACCTTCCAAAGGCCATCCATGGGCCCCAGGTTAAAAATCCCTGTACAAAGTCCCTTCCCACTCAAAGTCTATGATCCTAACCCAAAGATAATTTTAAAAGAAAAGCAAGAGGTCATCTAAGCACAATGCAGATATTGGTTTCCCAACCCCAGCCACTGGAAATCCCAATGCTGTTTTTGATTGTTACAGAGGCATCTTATTGCATGTCCAAAACAGAATTCATTATATTTCCAAAAAAAAATCCTTTTCCTAACTCAATCATTCTTCCAATCTCCCAGGTTTGGCATCATCCTAGAGCCCTCGCTCATCCCACATATGCAGTCAGTTACCAAATCCTTCTAATTCTCCATCTCTCACATCCAACCTCCTGGACAACCTGACTCTACCTTCCCTTTCTAGGCTTATTATGTATTATTCTCCTGCACCCAGTCTGTGTTCCAGTCAAACTGACCTTTTTGCTTTTCCTCACACATGGCTTCACCTCCTATCTCTACACCTCTGCACTGGCCACCCCTCGTGACTGACACATATCATCCCCTCAATTTCCTCTTAGAATCCTCTGCTTTTTCCAAGACTCAGTTCAAGTACAACCTTCTGTTTAAAGCCTTTCCTGATTCCCCACCCACTCAATTCTACTGCCCTTCTTCCTTTAACCTCATATTTATTTTGTACTTTGGTATAGTTTGATGTGGGGCAGCTAGGTGGTGCAGTGGATAGAGTGCTGGGCCTGGAGTCAGAAAGATACATCTTCCTGAGTTCAAATCTGGCCTCAGACACATACTAGCTGTTTGATCCTGGGAAAGTCACTTAACCCTGTTTGCCTCAGTTTCCTCATCTGTCAAGTGAACTGGAGAAGTTGAAATAGTAAAATACTCCAGTATCTTTGCCAAAAAAAACCCCAAATGGGGTCATAAAGAGTTGGACATGACTGAAAACAATCTAATAACAACAACATGTTTTGACATAATCTCTTCTTTCCCTGTCTTCCCCAGTGGAGCATACATTAGGAAAGCAAGGACCATTCCTTTTTTTCACCCTAGCACAATGCCCAGCAGATAGTAGGTGCTTAATAAATGCTTGCTGATTTATTGAACTAACCATTATTACTTAATGTGATGGGAAAACAGCAGAAGGAATCCTCCATACATTGGCCTTATACCAGGGATCTTCCTGAAAGAGTGCTCCTATATCAGAGCGTATTTTCCCCATAGGGCTTACATGATCATTATAGGAGTGATTTGTCTTCATTGCTTATTGATCTTTCATTGGCAGAGGGCAGATAACAATCAAACTTCCAGTTTCTTTTCTCCTTACCCTCTCTCTGTCAAACAATTTACAAGAGTTTATAGGAGGGGCTGTAGAGATTATCTATTTTAACCCCCTCATTTTACAGATAAGGAAACTGAGGCCCAGAGAGGTTATCATTTGGCCACAGTCAGAGAAGGAGTAAATGGATGAATGAAGATTTGAACTCAATTCCTTTGATTCCAAATTGTTGACAATATGGGACTGATTTCCAAATCAGATATCTTTATTAAACCACACTTCCTTTATAATGATTGTAAATAAACACTTATCTCCAATGAAAACTGATATGTAAAAATGAACCCTTGTGAACTGGTTTTAAATTTAAAAGCTTCTCTCTTGATGCTCTTATATGGATTTTCTTAAGTGGAGTACTAAGAAGGATTAAATTTCTGTTCTCTGGGAAGAAAGTCCAGAGTACAGGGATGGCTAAAGAGTTTAAGTTTTCATGTATCTGGTCTCCTCTGTAGGAACCACACTTTCCACTAGTATGCCAGCACCAATGTGAGTCACTCACACAGCCCCCAACTCTCTTATAGACTCCTGTAGTTCTCTAAGGCCTTTTTCCTTTAGTTTCATGTAGTTATGGGAGAGGGGGGGCGGAACCAAGATGGCAGTGTGAATGCAGTGACTTGCTTGAGCTCTCCCCCAAACCCCTCCAAATACCTGTAAAAAAATGGCTCTAAACAAATTCTAAAGCAGCAGAACCCACAAAAAGACAGAGTGAAACAAATTTCCAGCCCAAGACAGCCTGGATGGTTGATCGGAGAGGCATATCGCATCGGGCTGGGAGAGGAACACAGTTCAGCATGGGTGTGCAGGCCACTGTGTACCTGGAGCAGGCCTCAGAGGAATGAATCACAGGCAGCTGTGGCAGTTTCCAGACTCCTCAATCCTCGAACGCCAAAGACAACTTAGAAGGTCAGTGGGAAAAGTCTGTTTCTGCAGTGCTGAGAGAGGAGCTCCAGAGCGCAGAGTGCAGAGCGTGGGTGCCTGAGCGGTAGGTGCATCCT